TCACAAATAGTATTCTGCACCAAAAGTTCTTTAAAAAACAGTGAAATTTCTTGTAAAGAAAACACCTTCCATATCCTTAAAATGTGTTCTGAAGATTAAAAGGGCCTGATAAATATTCCACATGAAACCTAGAAAATTACACAGAACAAATGTTGCACAGTGTATTGTACCTATCTCTGCAGCCACAATTAAAGGGCAAAGAACTTTGGGTATTGTTCTTTCTATTTTTGCAACTAAGCTGAGAGAACTGTCTACACATACTTTTGAGGATAAATGTTCAAGGTAAATTAATGTGGTGAATTAATAGTTTGTTTTGTTTTGCCATTTTCCTGGCAAGGAAACCAGTGTCACCAACATCTAGGAATGTCTGAGGTGACAGAAAGAAGTCACAACAGAGAGTGTTTTTTGGTGCCAATGAAGACTCAAGCTGTTGGTCCCAGGCAGGGACAGGCAAAGAAGGCAGGTTCTCATTCTAGCCAAACACTCAAGCTTCCTTATCCTCTTCCCTTTGCTCCCTTTTTCCTGCACTTTTTTTTAACTGATGGCTGTCTTTCTCTTTTATTCCCTACTCCCCAGCATGCCTCAAGATTTCCCCTGAATATTAATTACTTTCAAGGAAGTCATGACAGCCTCCCTTCCTTTACCCCATGAGAACTGCACTCACCCGGTTACTTTATCCTTGCATCGTTTCCAAAAAGGACAAAGTTTAGTGCTCTGATCTCAGCCTCTTTATCTTATGTGTTAGCCCCATGGGATAGAGGAGAAGCCATCTTCTATCAGTGCCACTGTATTATCAGAGAACCATATTCTACCCCTCATTGGCATCCTAGAAATTGATCTTATGAAGGGAGCAAGTGTCCATGGCCAGTAAGTATATCTTACCATGCCCCTTGACACTTGAGCCTCTGAAGTAGATGGAATGACATGGGTCCCCCTTACATCCTTCTTACTTAAAGTTTACTTCCACACCCTTGATGAAACAAGTGAAAAAACATGTATGTATATCAGCACATGTGTATGTGTGTATATATATAATATATACACACATACACATGTGTATATAGAACATGTGTGATATATAAATAGTATACATAATTATACACACCTATATGTATATGTATACATATATACATGATTATATACATTTTTAAAAGGCAGGGTCTGGGTCTCCCCACCCAGGAGTTACAGTGGGCATATATGACTAAAAATTGACTATGACTGAGCAACATTTTATAAACTAGAGTGTATGTAAGACCTAATGCCTAAACAACCTCTTTCCACTCCAAGATTGCAGTAGGAAACAACCAGCTAGTCACTATGTTCAGGAGGTGGTAGAACCTGACTTTCACACAAAGTATGAATCCTAGGACTGATGGTCAAGTTATAAAAAAAAAAAAAAACAGAAGAAATCTCCTCCTATGATGAAGTACTCTGGGTGAAAAGAATCCTAAAATATAATCCCAGAGGGTATAAATAATTCTGAAATAATCACAAGTAAAGCATCAGAACAATAACAACAACAACAACAACAAGAAAAAAATCATGAGTGGACCATAAGGACTCCTTGATTTGATAGAAGAAATGAAAGAACCAAAATAATAATAATAATAACAATAATTATAATAATTATAATAATAATAAATAATAATTTAGAACACATGCAAAGAGAATAAACAGGTTAGAGTAAAAAAAGAATCAACATTTATCAAAAGAAAACATGCATTTTTTAAACCATTGCCTGCCATGTGCAAAGACTGTGCTATATTCTTTACAATATTATCTGATTTTAACCTCACAACAGTCCTGGGAGCTAGGGGATATCATTGTCTCTATTTTACATTTGAGTAAATTGAGGTAAACAAGTTAAAGGACTTGTGAAAGGTCACACAACTAGTGAGTTTGTGAGGCCAGATTTGAACTCAGGTCTGCCTGACTCCAGGGCCAGTGTTCTATTCACTATGCCACCTAGCTGCCCCTTTCAAGGGAAAAAAGAAAGAAGAATGCAATAAACAGAACTTAGTGATCCAATCAGTATGCAAGAAATATAAAGAAACAGTGAAAAGACTGAAAAATTAGAGGAAAAAGTGACTAAAAGAAAAGGCCTGAAAAACAAGGCAAGGAATGATATTGATAATCATGGGACTCCATGAAAACAACAACCAAACAAAAACCTTGCATATGCTATTTCCAGAAGTCATAAAAGAAAATTGTCCAGAACTTTAAGAAGTAAAGAGAAATATAAAAATACATATAATTAATTGTTGTTGTTTGTCCTTCATTCTCAAAAAGGACCAATGGCATCAGGGAGGTAATATCATGACTTGTAAATGAATTGGAGTTCAGTGAGGCAGGGTTGTACAAAGTTACCACTACTCTCTCCTCCAAAGCCATCTGGGTCCAGTGGCAAGACATAGATCAGGAAAACTGGAGATAGCCTGTATGCAGTGAGAGATTATGGCCATTTTAAGTTAAAGTCTTTCCCATATCTCAGCTTGTCTGAGGCAACCCCCAATTGGTAATGAAGGCTAGGTAAGAAATGAGACCAAAAATGGCTTCTTTTACCTAGCCAAAAAAAAAAATCAATCTGGGAGAGGAACACCCTCAAGGTTATTGGCCAAAATATAAATGATTGCTACTTATGCTCTCTCTAAGTAGCAAGACTAAACACTGACCAAGTGAGGCTTGGACTGGGACCTGCTGGCTATCTCCAGTCATCCTGATCAATATCTTGCCACTGGACCCAGATGGCTCTGGAGAAGAAAGTGAGGCTAGTGACCTTGCATAGCCCTGCCTTATTGAAATCTGTTTCATTTGCAAGACATGATATCACCTTCCTGATGTCATTGGTCCTCTTCAACAATGAAGGACAAGCAACAATCTGTGAGTAGTAGTAACTGCCCCACTGGGAAACCAACTGGACAGTTCCAGTTGGACAATACTTGTTCCTTCCTTCCTTCTCCTCCTTCATTTTCTTCTTCCCTCTCCCTCCCTTCCCCCTTTTCCCTCCTTCCTCTTCCTCTGTCTACATAGGGAATCATATGCTTACTTGTGGGTGCTCTGCCCAAAGGAATATAAATTTGATCACTGAAATGTCACAAGTATAGACTTCCCTAAAGTAATTAATATCATATGTTCTACAAATACTATCTAGGGTGGGGAAGGAGGTCTCACATTGAAATTTTAAACAAATCGCCTTCCAAAAGACTGTTTATTTTCTGTAACTGCACTTAATTAGAACAGACCACCAGCCATACTCCATTCTCCAGACTCTACCAGCATGTCATAGCTGCCTTCTCTAATCCTGTAGCCCTCTTTTCCCACTGGTAAGTTACCATTGGAACCTAGACTTTGGGGAAGGGCTCAGATTAACTACCCTTCATTCCCTATGATTCATTATAATTGCTTGCCTCCCACCTTCCTCAATCATCTTTTCAGCTTTATTTCATATGTTGTCATCCTTCAACAAATTGTAAGCTCCTTGAGGACAGGGATTGTCTCTCTTTTTTTGTCTGAATTCATGTCTCCATCACTTTAAGAAGTACATGGAATATAGTAAGTGTTTAATAAAAGTTTTTTGACTAACTTTACCTAAATTTTCTGGTCCATAACATCATGAATTATAGTTTTAATTAGAGTATATCAATATCAATATAGAGGTATCTATATTTAAGTCACTTCAATTCAACAAGCTTTTATGAAGTACCTAGAGGCACTGAGTGGTTAAGTGATTTGCCCAGAGTCACACATCCAGTATTTATCAGAATCAGGACTTGAACCCAAGTTTCTCTGATTTTAAAATCAACTACTGATTCCATGAAACCCTCTAGAAGTTGAAGAGTCAAAAATTACAGTTACTGCTTTCAAGGAGCTTAAATTACATTTTCTACTTTAATGCAGAATACTATAATACAATGTAGAGAGTGATAGAGACAAAAGAGACATCTGGAAAGGACTCAAGGAAATGTTGAGGAAGAAGGGAGCAATTCCAAGTATGGAAATCAGTGAAGCCTTCATCGAAGAGGTGGCACCAAACCTGAGCCTTGAAGGAAGAGAATGACTTTAAAAAAGAAGTACTATAGGTTGTATTATATCCATATGGTACAAGGTAAGCCAGTTCATAGAGACAGTATGCTGAATTTGGGGAATAGCTTCAATATAGTTTGGGGATAATAGCATGTGAAGAGTAATATGAAATATACTTGGAAAGTTTGTATCCAGATTGCTATGGAACTGAAATGACAGCCTGAGAATTATGTTATTTTATGCTACAGGAGACAAATAGCCTTTGAAAAGTTGCTGTGGTTGATATTGTTATTGTTGCTATAGTGGTGGTTTTTGGTTAGCAGATAGGAAGCATAGACATCATGCTATAGCCAGTGTATTTTTTGTAGCCATATGAAAAATGGACTGGAAAGGAATGAAAATAGGGTCAGACAGACCAGTTAGAAAGCTAATAACTTTACAGGAGAAAATTAAGAAGGTTTCTATTTTAAACGAGGTTTTAATGTACTTCTTAAGTGCTCTATGAAGATGACTGAATTGAATCATATTCAATGTAACAAGATAGTAAAACTGTATTTTTAACTTCTTTTTTAACAGAAAAAAGTATGTGGGATTGTTAGCATTAGAATGTAGTCATTCATTCTCTTTGATATCTATGCCCAAAAACATTAAATATTTCTTTAAAAATTCATGATATCCATACAAACACAAAATAAGTGCATTATCTTATCATTATCAAGAACTCTAGATCAGACAGCAGAATCTCCAATCAGTGCAAAGAAAGGCAGAATAATCAAACACTCTCCTTTGCTGGTTTTTTTAATCTTTTCCCCATGATTCCAATTTTAATTTCAGTCTCTAAGCTTTGAATATTCTTATTCCAAATAATAAGCAAAAATTCAAGAATGATAAGGCTAATTTACAAAGAGAGTAATTGTTTATCTATATCATTAAGTAGAAACCAGAAAAGAAACTTCCACTAATTAAGTTTAAAATACCTCATCTTCTGCATGGCTGAGGCCCTTTTTTAGGTCTTCCACTCGAAATCTCAGTTTCTTTACTTCTGCCTCATGGTGATCCACTCTGTTGTTGGCATGAATCAGTTCTGCCATTTTATCTTGGTACTGTTTATTTAGTTTGCAGTAGGCATGTTGAAGTTCAGCCAGCTCCTTTAAAAAGAAAATAGAGGTTCTCTTAATCATAATAACTGACATCATGTAGTACGAGATGAAATCCTTTGCAAAATTTAAAGTGCCATGTAAATACTATTATTACTATTATTATTAAAATAACATCATTAATCAATAGATAAACAATTGAGAACAATCAATAACATTTATGAAGGACCTGCTATATGCTAGGCCCTGTGCTATCATCACCATTTTGAATCTGCTTCCAAACTTGCTTTACTGCTTATTATGTCTGGGATTTAGGCCTCAGGTTTCTCAACTGCAAAATGAAAGACTAATACTTTATAATTTCTAAATTTCTTCCCAGTTCTAAACCATATGAAAAATATGGAAAAAATAAGATTAATGGAAACTTGTATTGCTGTACTCAGCCTATCTTTATCCCCAAAGTGTTTTCTATTCCAGAAACCAAATCAGCAAGAAATGACAAGCTCTGCCTTAAATACTGGCAATTGAGTAGCTATGGGGGAGTACTATGCCCATCCCTATCCCACCTAGCACCATTGATTGGCCAACTCCTTTAACTGCCAGAAGACTGAAAGATTCTGAAATCAGCCAACATGCCCCTCTTTTCTGTGCCTACATGGCTTGAATACATATCAGCTGGACAATATGGATAAACCAATACAGCTGGGATTAGTGGCAGACAAGGGCTGGTTGGTCTTAACAGGTTGCTGCAGGTACCCTTCTTCCCCCCACTCATTATAGTATACCCAGTATTAGCTTGTCCCCTACCTATTGTTCTCTGCCATATATTTGCATTATGCCCACTGTACTCTCCTCTATTATGGTGGTGGAAATATTGGACTTAGAGAACTAAATTGAAGTCTAATTTGGCAATTTATTGGTGAGAATATAAACAGATCTCTTCTCTGGGCCTCAGTTTCTTCAACTATAAAGTGTGCATTTGGGACCAGATCAGCTCCAAATTCATTGAAATCTAACTTTAAGGTATAAAATTCTTTGACACCTTCTTTAAGGTTAATTATCCCTTATCTCAATAACTTAACATTATAAACCAAGGGGAGAAGACGCCAGATTCCTTGCTCTTCTGAGACACTTTCCAACCATCCCTCTGCCACCATTACTCAGAAACTCCAATCTTCCTTAAAGAATGACAAGCCTGGAGCCAAAGTAGTATTCCAGGTATAGTTCTTAGGCTGAACTTTGCTATCAGGGGTTGAGCTATGAGTTGCCCAGCCTGTAGCTACCTATGACCAAAGTACCAAAGAGGAGCCCTTAAAGAACTCAGAGAGCAGTGACGAAATGAATATTGTAGAGCCAGGCACTAACCATCGAACATTCAAGAATAAGGATTTGTTGGTAAGAATTATTTAGTGATTCCCCACTCTTGTAGAAGCAGAGATCCAGGACACTTAGGTGGTGCAGTGCATAGAGCTCCAACCTTAGAGTCCTCTGAATCAAAGTAATAATCATCTGTCATAAATCTTAAGGGTAGGCAGATAAAAATGGAATAAAGGGAAGTAAAACTCCAAAGAGCAAACTAGCATATTTCAAATGATCTTTTTACATCAGAATTGGCCACACAATGTAATCTAAACTAGACAAAAGAAACAATAGAAAAAGTAGAGGGTTTTTTTAAGTAAACATTTTATTTCATTAGAAAATTAAGTTAGTGTTTGCATCAATTTTGTTATAACTAATTGTGGTTAGCTATTAAAGTTTTCTGGTTTTTACATGTAAAAAGGCTAAAATTCATACAGTTTGATCAACTAAATTAGTCTAATTTGTATCTATTAATTCACACACTACTGTAACTGAGATGAGTATTTTGAGAAGAGAATATAGAAAAGTGTGGGAAGCTAGATTTCCCTCAGACGTGAGCCAATAAAGTAAATCCCAGAGGTCGAGCAAGGAAGTATAGTAAGAATGGTCATTTTATTTTTCCTGTCATTAATTCACTGGTTTTCCAGAAATAAAGTCTATGGTGATTCAAATGGAGCTTCTTTACTATGCCTTTAAACCCAAATCACTATTGTTTTCACTGATTGACCAATACTAGGTTCCAAGACAAATCTCACTGGCTCATTGTTTGGGTTTTGATGACACAGAGTGAGTATAAATCACAATTGTTTCTGTTCTGGCCAAATACTCTGAGGGTCTTCCCCTCTCAGGCTGATTCATTTATGAAAGCACACTAGGCCACTTTTGCTTCACTTCTTACCTAGCCTTTAATTACTATATGGGCATTGCCTCACAGAAACTGAGACCTGGGAAAGACTTTACCTTTCAAAGGCTAAGGTCTCCCACTGCATGGAGCCTTCCCAGTCCTTCTAATCTGTCTTGCTATTGGACTCAGATAACTCTGTAGGAGAGAGTGAAGCTGATGACTTTGCACAGCTCTGCCTCATTTAAATTCAATCCATTGCAAGTAAAGACATCTGTCTCGTGATGTCATTGGTCTTCTTCAAGAAGGAAGGACTAACAATAACAACAATTCACTGGATTTAAAAAGTAAGTCACACTCTGAAAGGATCATGAGCGACTAGAACTGCACCCTAGGAAGGGAGAGAGATGAAGGCATTAGTTCTTTCCGTGCCAAAGCAGCAGAGTGATTGAAAGGTCAGTCTGACTTGTTCTTCAGTATCAACTGGGCTTTAAAATTCATAGAGTACTTTATATACCCTATCTCTTTTGATCCTCATAATAACATTGTAACGTAAAAACTGTTTTTATCCTTATCTTGCAGATCAGGAAACTGTTAAATAATTTATATTAAACTCACATAGTTAATAAGTATCTGAAGTAGAATTTAAGTCAAAAGTGGGATTCAGTCTATATCCATGAACAAAGGATAGTTATCTGCTGTGTATTGAAACTGTACTTATATCTTTTAGTTTTCCAGCTTTCTAAGCTAGGGATATTAAATCATTATACTTCAGTCATAGCATTCCAAGATAAATCACAAAGTCCTTCTGGCCTTTTCTTCAGACAAACACATGATGGAATTAGGAAGTTTGTGGAGACAGAGTTTAAATTCCTAGTAGGCAAGCATTATTGTAATTTTTTTTGGTCTTTGTATCCATAGCTCCCAGCAAGCACAGTGCCTGACACATGCTAATTAATAAACGTTTCTTGATGACTGATAAAAAAGAAACATAAATTTATATCTCTGTGGTACAAATGATTAGATGTCATAAATTTAATGCCAAGATAAAATTTGAGCTTGAAGACATCATTCTAACCAGTTGTATTACTCAGCAAAGTGTCTATCTGAAGCAAATGAAACTCAGTGCTGTGTATACAATAGGCATTGCACACATGTTTGTGGAATGAATATTTGTTAAATAGAAAAACATTCTATGACTACTGGAGAAAATGCTAGTTCATTTAATGTTATGATACTTTAAGATATGCCAAGAACATTTCTTCAGATTCATTGAAAAATACTGTCAAAGGACTTTAAATAGCATGTTATTAAAGAATAGAGCTCTTTACAAGGACTGTCAACATGCCTGCAGATGTCATTTCATGGAAGAGGAAACAAAGATGAAAGGAAAGAAAATGAATTTACATCCTGAATGTCTTGATTGAAAAAAGAAATCTGGACTAGGTCTTGTTTTCCCCTGCCAATTCTTATTTCAGTAAAGAATATTCTTGCATGACTCATTATATTTTTTCCTTACATCCTCTGAATTAAAGTAACAATCATTTATCATAAATCTTAAGAGTACACAGATCAAAATGGAATACAGGGAAGTGAAACTCCAAAGAGCAAATTAGCATACTTAAAATGATTTTTTACAAATTGGCCATACAATGTAATATGATATATCTAAACTAGACAAAAGAAACAATAGAAAAAGTAGGGTTTTTTAAGTAAACATTTGATTTAATTAGAAAACTAAGTTAAAGTGTTTGTATCAATTTTGTTATAACTAATTGTGGTTAGTCATCTGTGTGTAATTTATCCATCTTCCTTATGAAGTAATGTGCCAAATTTTAATTTTAGTGTAATATTTTTACAAAAAGAAATATGTATTAGTTGAACTGGTGCTACTATGCAAAAAAGTAAAATAATTCAAGATACATTATTAATATCTAGTTGTGTATGAGAAATGAGGTAAAAGAAATAATCAAATAAGAATATGACCAGAAAAGTAGTTGGGCTAGCAATACAGTGAGAGTGAATAGCTAGCTAGCTTATTCCTGCTAAGATAAATACATTATATTAGGTTTGGGTAGGTATCCAATTGAGAGGTTATGGAAGGATTTCTAAAAGGGTGATATAGGATGACAAAATGTGGATGTATTTATATCAGCACCATAAGAGGGAATTCCCTCATAAATGAGAATACAGTTTCATTGAAATGTTGAAGATCAGAAGGTCTCTTTGTAAATTCTATTCAGCATCAAGAAAAGATTTTTTATAATACTGAGATGCCATTGTTATAAAATTTATTTCAACTACCAAAAGAAACATTTCTTTTTTGCAAAATGCAATATGAAAAAAAAGGCAGGCTTCTACTTGCTTTATCAAATTTATTACTCTGTTGTTTAATATGACTGTCAATAACTTTGAAAGCTGTGCATTGATTTAAATTTGGACAAAATTAAAATATTAAGGTTTATAATTTCATTAAAGATTGTTTTCATTTTTTTACTTGAATAGTTTAATAAAATCATCCTTCTACTTATGCCTATAAATGCTCAATTGCCACACTCTACTTGCATGCATAAAGTACATAGAAAATAGACATTAACTGATTTTTTTTCTTACCATCAAGTTTTTTATCTTGTGTCTTTAAAAATTCTATTTATTTTGCATTCAATTGTAATCTCTCTACCTAATTTCCCCCCCTTGTGAATAAAAGCAAAAAATCTTAATTGTACATATTCCACATTTTCTCATAGGTCAAGATTGAAAATATTTATCATTCTTTCTTGCTTTCTCTGCATTTTTATTTCACTCCTTATCTAGTAGGAGATGAGGAAGATTTTGTTTTCCAATTTATTTG